CTTCTACAGTGAGAGTACAAGATCTATGATGTGTACTGAATGCCAGGCCACAGATACCACGTCTAGTACCGGCAGTACTAAAGCTAGTGATTGTACCGATGGTAAGTTGTCAACTATTTTCTCACAAACCATGAAAACATTAAAGATGGGTTCCCTTATTTCATTTATGAATTTGAAAATGTTAATACTTTTATGAATAGAAAGTAAAGGTGTTCTAATGACTTGGAAAAATACCAGTTTGTCTCACATGTCCACAATTAATTCATAATTAGCTAAATTAGAAGAGAATTACCAGCAGAATTTCAACGAGTGACCGATCAAGGTCAAAAAGCCTTTTTTTTGTTTATCCAGACTGTACATACATGGACCTTTATGATTGGTAAAAACTATGATTAAGAATACATGATAATTCATTAGAAACATCAAATTGTTTGCTTAATTTGACACTAGAATAATGAGGAAACCCATTTTTAAGGGGAGAAAGTGTCCATATTTCCCTCCACCCATGACGAGGTCTACAGAAATGATGTGTCTTCAGTCCCAATTGTACATTTCACGTGTATCTTGGTTGAGCCGTGCTGGCTCTGTGAGTTAGACAATTGCTCACAAACCTGTAGGTCCGGTGTGCTGCAGGCTGTACATGTTCAAGATCAGTTGGAAATCGGCAAAAGAGTAGGCTAATGCCACTGTCCTGGCTATATTTTCCATCCTTCTGTTTGAATTTTGATTGGCAACTTTTTCTTCAACCTACTTGACGTCTGATAGATCCTAGCCAAAAACAGATATATGACCAGGTCTGTCCATCATATCCAGCAAATCAAGCCCTGTCCCATCCACTAATGATGATGTCCTCGAGACTACAATAAAAAAAAATTTTTTCAGCCCAAATTTGTCAAGGACCCAATCCATGTCAAAATGGTGGATCATGTATATCGTCTCAACACACGTTTAAATGTGATTGTCCCACAGGTAAATATTCTACTATATTTATGATCAGATCCAGCAGAGCAGCCCCTTTAAACTGAAATACAGACTGTGCACATTAAAGATCCCTGGACAGTTGGAAATAGGCTAATAGTAGGCTAGGCAAAATTTCCCTTCGTGGCCTTGCCCGTCTTCATGAGCCCAATTAGATGCTGAAGAGTAGGATTTCATTTTTCGACGGAGATTAAACTTTGAGATGAGGCAGCAATTAGACTTTCTTTCTTAGAGTTTTCACGTGTCAACACGCTCTTAATGATAGTATCAGGATACTTATTCTAACCAATCAAAACCTCTGTTACAAGTAGGCAGTCAATACATGTTACTGCTTATAATAATAATCCCAAAATGCTTCACACATAGCAGGGAAAATCTTTTGTACCCCTAAATATTATCCAGGTTTTCATTCTTTTGAAAGCTTGGTAACAGCTTATTAAACATCCAAGTTGTCTTTATCTCAAAAACTCTACTCATATAACATTTAGATCTTAAGAAATACAATAATCTGATTGATTTAAAATCAATTTTAGTGATTGACCAATCAGATGATTGGAACACTAAAATCATCTTAGGTAGAGTTTTTGAGAAAAAGGGCTGTGGTGGTTTAATATTGTCCCTGACTCCTAATTGTATTCTGGGTAATTTTTAATATTTGAATGTTTCAGGGTATTATGGGAAGGTATGTGATAAAGTGTTCAACCCATGTTCGTCCAATCCATGCTATAATGGAGGTGTCTGTACCCAGACGGGCTCAACCACCACTTACACTTGTTCATGTCCACAAGGTAAGAATTTTACATCGTTCTATTTTAAGAGATACTACCATTTTGAATGCATATAAAGTAGGATTAAATACTGATATCATATTAGATCCACTAAAACATGACTGGCAAATAAACAACTCACCGAGACTTGACCGGCAACTTAACAAACCACCCATCCCTGATGAGCACATCAAATTAAAGTTTCAAACTTGGAAAGAAATAATATATGCTCCTTTTGGCCAACGTTGAAAATCTAAATTTTATGTTCATTTTAAGAGGAAGTATCCCTTTAAATAATGTTTATAATATCATTATATCTGATTCATTATAAGTTCTATTGCGGTTATTTTTAACCAATCAAAGCATGTCATGTAGGTCCTGTTTCTCAATAACAATGAGGAATAGCAAAACCGAAAGTAGAGATATTTGCAATGAAAAACGGTAATAATGTTTATTATATTGCAGGTACGAGTGGACAAAATTGTGAAACTGATTTGCCAAACTGTGATCCCTATCCATGTGGGACTAACGGAATGTGTCAGGACTACATTGATAGCTATTTCTGTCATTGTAAGAGTGGATATAAAGGACAAAAGTAAGTTACCAGAATTGAAAATGAATTGAATGGAGTTTTACTTCCTCCCTTTCTGCACCTTGTGGGCTAATGAAGAGGGCATGTCATGAAGGGGGCAATGAGGGAAATTTTTGCCAAGACAGCGACATTAGCCTGCTCTTTTTCGATTTCTAACTGTTGAGGAGCCTTTAGCATGCACATCCTGTAGCACACAGGGTCTTGGTTTATTTTCCTATCCGAACAACTAGATGCTTTTTCCATGTTAGCGCTTCTTATCTACATCACTGACAGGGGAAAACCGGGTTGAGAATTCTGAAGGTATGATCTAGACCTATGTCGGGATTGATCCCTGGACCTTCAGGTTAGCGAGCAAGTGTCTAACTAACTGCAGCTACCGCTGCTCCCAGTAAGTTACCGGAGCTGTGCCAGATGATAATAAAATCGGTGATAGTGCTTGATTCAAATGAAATGTTGCCAATTAGAGTCTGGTCTTGAGTATCTATGACTGGTGCAGGGAAAACGAGGAGACAAAAATCTCCAGTTGGTCGTTTTCCACCTTGTTTATAATTACGTTCGGAGCATGCGATACGCAAGGAAAAGGAATAGGATTGGATGATGACGGTTTTTGTATCAAGAATGCAGTATCAGCAATATTTAAGAGTAATTTCTTGTGTATTTTCAGTTGTAGTGAAACTTCTGATGTTTGTTTGGAAAAACCATGTTCTTCTCCTGGAACAGATGGAGTTTGTGTCAAACAGGGCACAGCTCGTAGAAAGTGTAACTGTCTACCAGGCTATAGTGGTGATGACTGTTCTGAAAATATAGGTCAGTCTACATCTTTTATATGATGGTTATTCGTGTTAACTTCGGGACTAGAATGCTGCTAGTTACCCTCGTATATTAAACTATTTACCTGGCAAGATGTCAGCCTTTCATGGCCGAGTCAATGTTCAGCTCAAGGAAACTAACGAACATTCGCGAAGGTGAGGGGTTATGGAAGGTGAGGGGTTATGGAAGGTGAGGGGTTATGGAAGGTGAGGGGTTATGGAAGGTGAGGGGTTATGGTATGAAATATGTCTGGATAATTGAGATCACAATTGAAATTTGAAACAGTGTTGATTATGTTTTATTTGATTGTAGATGAATGTGCCAGTACGCCATGTTTGAATCGAGGGAAGTGTAATGACTTAGTTGCTGAATACAATTGTGAATGTAATGAAGGCTATAATGGTGATCAGTGTACAATGAGAGATAGTCTATGTAAAGGAGTAACTTGCACCAATGGCATGTGTATAGAGGATCATATGCAGAATACATATCTATGCCTTTGTGATAAGGGCTACATGTATAGTAAGTTCCTCTGGAAATATTTTGTTGTATCATCAGAGTTTTGGACTACCTATGTCTTAAAAGAAACCATTATTGTTTACGCTATATTTTATTATCCAGGGAGACTACTCTTGACTGACGAAGAAAACAGCTTAAGGGAATAATAAAGTTTTTTTTCTCACATTTTCCACCTGACAATTACACATATTTTTCTTTGCAAATCAAATATTCTGACAATATGTTGCATTTCTAGGAAACATTAGGTGGTGCCGAACAGGGACCACAAATGACATAAATATTAAAAGTTGGGACCCAAAACCTCCCACCCTGAACACCACCATACAATCCATAGAAACCCCTCTGTCAAGCTGTCAATGGTGCAACTGTCTTAGAAGCATGCTCAATTGACAAACCCAAATACCAAATTAACCATGTTGACTCTCTAGTTTCATTTTGTTTCATTGCATTTCATTTCAGATTCCACAACTAAAACTTGTGATATGATAGATAACTGTGAATCTGATCCGTGTGTATCTGATAATACAGTAACTGATGGCTGTAGTAGTAGTATTGAGGGTTTCAAATGTACCTGTAAAAGTGGTTACACAGGTTCAAAATGTCAACATAATATAGATGATTGTGCTTCAATGCCCTGTGGTAAAAACTCTGTAATGTGTACTGATCTACTCAATGGCTTTAATTGTACTTGTAAGGAAGGATATGAAGGTATATTTTTCTAGAGCTTTCAAATTTGGGGCCTGACCTTGATTTGTGAAAAATCCCATGGAAACAATGTGTCAGAATTATGGTATATATTAGATATTAAGCCAACACAGAAAATGTTTAATGTTACAGGCTGTGTCCCTTAAAGATCTCTCAACCATTGGAAATTAAAAAAAAAAGGAATTATCTGATTTTCGTACATTTCTAGTACTTGTAAAGACTATTTACATATATTCAAGACACAAATCAACCTCCCAAAATACTTCATTAAGTAATGTTATGATGTATACTTCATTAAGTAATGTTATGATGTATACTTCATTAAGTAATGTTATGATGTATACTTCATTAAGTAATGTTATGATATATACTTCATTAAGTAATGTTATGTTATATACTTCATTAAGTAATGTTATGATATATACTTCATTAAGTAATGTTATGATATATACTTCATTAAGTAATGTTATGATATATACTTCATTAAGTAATGTTATGTTATATACTTCATTAAGTAATGTTATGATATATACTTCATTAAGTAATGTTTTTATACTTCATTAAGTAATGTTATGATATATACTTCATTAAGTAATGTTATGATATATACTTCATTAAGTAATGTTATGATATATACTTCATTAAGTAATGTTATGTTATATACTTCATTAAGTAATGTTATGATATATACTTCATTAAGTAATGTTATGTTATATACTTCATTAAGTAATGTTATGATATATACTTCATTAAGTAATGTTATGATATATACTTCATTAAGTAATGTTATGATATATACTTCATTAAGTAATGTTATGATATATACTTCATTAAGTAATGTTATGTTATATACTTTAGGAGATACATGTCAAAGGTTAAAAGATACATGTAGTGGCAGCCCATGTAAAGGTGAGGGTGTTAAGAAGTGTAAACTGGTCCCTAATGACTATATATGTGAGTGTATACCTGGCTACACTGGTAAGAATTGTGAGGTAGGTACATACATGTGTTATCATTCATCCCAGTAGGTACTAGGTGGGTAGAGAGAGAGGGTGAGATGATAGCGAGGGGAATGGAAGGGGAAGGAGGTGAGGGGAAAGGGAGGAGAAGGGGGAGGGGTGGAGAGAGGGAGGGTGGTTACAGAGGGAGAATTCAGGTGGTAAATGTCAGTCCTGCAATTTCTCTAGAACTAAGCATTGTATGACATCACTATTGCAAAGGTCCTGAAACAAAGAGGACAGTTTATGTTTGTGTTTTGAATCAGACCAGATGAGCACAAATATCTTAGTTTGACTCAGGATGTTGATTTTAGCCTTGTGATTTTGGATTGCAAGTTCGTAGGCCAGTGTCCTGTTTGCTGGGGCTTGGTTCAGCCCCCACGGATAAGTGATAAGTGTGAAACTGATTTTTAAGAAAATTTTTTGGTTGATATTTCAGACTAATATAGATGATTGTGCTAGCCGACCTTGTATGCATGGTTCTAATTGTACAGATAAAGTTAACGGCTTTTCATGTGATTGTGAGGCTGGTTGGATGGGAGATATGTGTGAAGAAGAAGTTGATAGTTGTAAATCCAATCAGTGTGTTAACGGTGCCGAATGTCAGAATCTCTTCAATGATTATTATTGCGAGTAAGTTATAACAACAAGACTTTATTTTAGATTCCTTTTTTTTCTTTGTTTTTTACAATTATGCATACAAATATATAAGCTATTGTTTTAGAAGCCAACTGATATTTAGCTTACAATTAATCAGGAATCATACCATGGCCGTTCAATTAAAGAATCATGTCTAAATATCAACGATCTATTCTTGAATTATTAAAACCAAAGTAGAGCTATATAGCTGCTATGGGTTTCGCTATCCATGAATTCTTTGCGTGAAAGATTTGCCTGATGTTAATGATAAAAATATTTTTTCAGCTGTAAAGACAATACGTATGACAGAAATTGTAGCCAGAAGGAAAACCTCTGCCAGAGTGCCAACCCATGTATTCATGATCAGCCTTGTACAGAGACTAACGGTTTAAAGTGTATGTGTAGTTCAGAATGGAAAGGTATTGGCTGCGAGATCGCTGTAGATTATTGTGCTGAAGATGTTTGTTTACATGGTGGAAAATGTACTCCTTCATTATTCAATTATACCTGTGAATGTTTCAATGGTTAGTATAAAATCATATTTATAATCAATACACTTCCTCATATGAATAGTTTACATGTTTTGCTAGTAAACTGTTTTGGATTTCGGGTTTCGTTTTGTGATTTCAGATTGTTAGTACTTGGTATTTTATTGTTTGGCTTTCTTTCATTTTTTTGGTAGGATTTCAATTTATTTCATTTCGTTCTATTTCATTTTGTTTTATTTCGTGTCCGTGTTTATTCCAGGATATCAAGGTAGAAACTGTGATGAAAACCCTGATAATTGTGCAGGAGTTACCTGCCCTGGTGGCGCCACCTGCGTGGACGGAGAGGATCAATATTTCTGCCGATGTCCACTTGGTAAAGTCGGCAAAGATTGTGACAAAGGTAATTTATGTTTTATTTCAATTCTAGTTTTCCAAGTGTGATTGTATTTGTCTATTTTATGTCTCTTTTTTTGTGACTTTTTCAACAAAAACAGATTTGAAACATTAAATTTGGCTTTCCAGTATGGCTTTTTTCGTTTATTACGTTTAGTCTAGTTCAGTGAAGTTACAAAAATGTTCAGAGTGCTAAAATATAAATGTGTGTTTTTTTGGGTCATCCACCATGTTTGATAACGATGTGTTGTATACAATTTCAGACTTAGATACAGACTACATGTTACTCTTCAATTCTCCAATGAAAGATGGAATGGCGGCTTTTCCCTACCCAATATCCTTCAAGTCTAACCAGTTTTCTATCACTTTCTGGGTCAGATTCTGGGATATTGACGATACTGGGAATTTCCTGTCCATCTTCTTCACAGAGTAAGTAAATCGTGAACAGTATGTAGAAAGGTGCAAGGAGGGGTTGACATTGTAAAAGTATCTAATTTCCTTCATTGTACACTGATCCTGATTAGCCCAATCTTGAGCTGAAGAGAAGCATGTAAAAGTTTTGACAAAAGAGGTTTTGAAAATATACAGGGCCGTAGCTAGTCCAGGGGGGCTCAACTTTAGTGACTCAACAAGGCATTTAGGTCATATAAATTTTTCAGGGGGCCAAAATTTTCTTAGGGGGGGGCCTGCCCTGCCCTGCTCTGCCCCCCTCTAAAACAATATAATTGTTACATAACCACAATGTGATCATTGTTTTTTGTCTTAACAGATCTCAGGCGAGTACAAAGGTCACAAGTAAACTGTTGAATATTGATCATGAAGGTTTAAAGATAATGAATGGAACAGAAGAAAAGAGTTATACATCAAAATATATCTCAAAACACAATGACGGAAAATGGCATAATATTGCCGTGACTTGGAATGGAGAGACAGGTGTTTTGAAATACGTGGTAGATTCACTCAGTGATGGTCCCATTGCAGATTTTTCCACTGGTATAACAGTAGACTCAAAGTAAGTAGTCTGTATGATAATCATCAGGATGACTCTCGAAAACATTAACACAGGCATCAGAATATTTTATATAGCTTGATTGAGGATTCAAACATAGGTTTAGGAATTTTAGGACATAAAATTACATTCAAGTAATGTACGAGAGTGCAGGCACAGACACAGGCATGCAGGCGTAACATCTAGTGAGAGAATATTGTTTGTGCAAAGTATGGAGAATCAGAGCTCCAGTTTCTCCAAAATTCGTACGACTAAACTTGCACGTTAAGTGAAGAAAAACATTATTTTTGACATTATAAAATCTTTAATTTGTAATGTTTAAGTTTGGTTGTAAATCTATGATATTTGGAGAAACGGGGTACTGACATTTATAAAAAGAGCATGGATTCGCACACTTGACATTGCTAAAAAAAAAAAAAAAAATTTTTAATGGTGATTAGAACTCTTATCTTCATACTTCCCAATCAAGTGCAAAATATTTTTACTATGTTTTTCAGTGTTTGGGTAGTATTGGGAGTTAAATATGACTATCAGATGAAAAAACCAATCATGAATCAGGGATTCCGCGGCTGGATAAGTCAGGTCAATCTCTACAGTTCTGTCGTTGATTTTGAAACAGAGATACCACAGTTACTAAAAACGCCACAAAAAGTTTTCAATGACAGTAATCCAGTTCAGCTGTGGTCAGACTATGAATTAATGAGAAATGTACAACGTGTACCACAGTCCACTATTCAACATCCAAAAGATTCCTGTCCCAGAGGATTCTCTAATCCTAATGCCTGTGATAGAAAGGATCCAGGTAAGATGTCTGAGACTTGTTATTGTTATCCATAGGATAAGTCACATGCCAGCCTTCTATCTCATTAACAGTGGTGTATATGGACAGTGGTTTTTGGGCTATGAGTGCCTGAGAAGGTTCTCCCAAATGTTAAACTTATTGAATTGATTTGGTGCATTCTGATATATATATTAGGGCAAAATCATATTTTCAATTTTGTGAATAGAGTGAGGGTAGAATTGGGGATGCTAGTGATTTTTTGTTTGTCCCATCTGTACCTCCCATTCACACTGTCACTAGAGCTTAACTAGTTTTAAAGTTGTGAATCTGTTTTAAAAAAAAAGGACTTGAAATCCAAGAGTCAACATGAGTCAATAACTGTCCAGGATTATATTCATGATTGTTATTACAGGTAGAACACAGGTGAAAGTTGAGAAATGTCCAGATAATATTGTAATGATGGGAGAGAAGAGAATCACCCAGGCCACGTGGACACCACCAGAGTTCCCCGACAGTGATACTGTAATATCTAATTACGCCCCAGGTGAGTTTCTATCATTCTAATTATTTTTGGGGTGGGGAGAATTGGTTTTACGTCTTTTCTCTTGAATCTTGTTTTTTAAGGTTTTTCTGATTAACAGGTTGTGCCAGTTCATGGTTTTTCTGATTAACAGCTTGTACCAGTTCATGGTTTCGAATCAGGCTGAACTTCCAAATATGTACAAACTATATCTGATTAGTTACCTTCCCCTATAAAGGGCAGATAACCCTTCAGTCATACTTTGTAGTTTACTATTCCTTTTCAATGATATACAAATTAGAACTTAAACTATTGATTTATTTTTTAAAATATAGATTCCCAGTTCTTGTGGGGTATGTACCCTATTGTTTACCAAGCTAGTTCAAATGCTGGTCACAAAGCTTTGTGTACTTTCTATCTATTCATACAATGTAAGTAGACCACCTTGCTATTTCTTATACATAAACTTGTTTCTGCTAACACATCAGCCCAATCCTAAACCTGATAATATCGTAACCGATTATTGGCAAAACAGTTATCCACTGTTGACGATATTTGATTTTAAAAACATTAAACCAACATTTTGTCTTGCTTGGAATTGAGCCCTGTGTGCTACAGGTTTTTTGTCCTGTCAAAATTTTCATTTCATTTCATTTCATTTCATTTGAATTGTCACTCTTTTTGATCTGACAGTGCATTCTAAAGTGTTGATATCTTGTTTATTTAATGAAACAAAAATAATAGATTTTTGATATTTGCATACCTTTTAATTTATTTTATGGTATCACAAATGATACATAGGGAGCCACGGTGGCTCAATGAGTTAAAGGCTTGCTCACTGAAGGTCCAGGGTTCAATCCATCTTCTGCATGGCGTTGCCTGTCTTTATTGACCCACATGATGCAGAAAAATAGAACATAAAACTCCATTTTGTGATTAAATTAGTCCTCATTACTAAGTTCAGGGCCAAGTCCTTTTTTCCATGAGGCAAAAATTTTGTTGCCTTTAAAACCATTAATGTTTTTTTTTTTTTGTCAAATTTGGCAAGTGGACATGTCAGAAGTTGTGAAAATATTCTCCAAAAATGTATTTATTTTAGATGATGCGTGTAGTAAACCAGAAGATCCTACCAATGGTAAACAGATCTACTTACCTAGTGCTGGAAAATTCCACGCTGCCTCTGAAGTCGGCTGTAATGATGACTTTGAATTTTCTCAACCCACACCAGCGCTTTATACGTGTGGTTTAATCGGAAGTTGGGATCCTCCAAGGATGTATAATACCTTTGTTCTGCCACCTTGTGGAGGTAAGTGATAAAGATTTTGATACAGAAGAGATTTAAGACATGCACTGTATGATGGTTGTCAAGAATTTATTAAAACTTTTTGAACTATTCACGAGATTAATCAACCAACTACTAAACAGGTGACAAACTAAACTAACATGGTGCAATATACTCAGTCAGATTTGAATCAAACGCAAACGTTCTCACAGTCCATTCTTGGCTATCAGCCATGTAACAGCAAGAGCAAACAATAGATAGTAATTGAAGGTATATTAGTCAATAATGTATTAATTATTACCATAACTACCGGTTAACTAGTCTTGGTTGTTTTTTTTAATCAGGACCCTGTTTCTCAAAATATCATAGATTAACGTACAAGCGTAAATGTTATAAATTTACGATTTAATGATGTCAAAATAACGTTTTTCTACACATTAAGAGTAAATTTAGTCTTTCAAATTGTTGAGAAACGGAGTCCAGATCGGAAATCATCACCTTGACTTTCCAGCATTCATTATCAATTAATGTTTATTGTTTATTTTTCAATTTTAGCGAAAAAGACGCCTCCAAAAGTACAAGTGAAATTGACTGTCAAGTATAAGATAAAAACAAATGATTGTCCTCAAGTTAAAGATTCTTTAATTGCTTTGATTCGAGAACGATTTGTAGCTGTTAGTAAGAAACATGGTAATAAGATCTGTGGTACTGCTGACTGTTCTGATATTGGTAAGTTTATCACTGTCGTGTCCTGACTGCGTCTGAATTACTTAAAAAGGTATAAGGGGATGAAATTTACACTTGGCTGACTCTCGCAAGCACTGGCACTTGCATCTGTTTTTTTTTTTCATACCTAAAGGAGGATCCGAAGACACGACACCTAGCAGACGACAATCTAACTTGTTACCAATTGAGCTATTCCACTGCCATACTTTCGTTTCACAAAATAGTAGGTGCAGACAAAATTCAAAATGGTAGGGAAAGAAATAAATGAGAAACTTTGAATGTGACAAACCATTGAGGCCAGAATTGGGAATGGGCAGAACCTGTCTCACAGAACTTACCAATCGAGTTCCACCAATGATATCATAGTAGTTGAATTATTATTATTTATAGGTGTTGTGATTGAGTGTATTGCTACCAGACGTAGAAAGAGACAGACTGGTGACGTCACAGTTGTAATCTCTGTTCCTTTAGTACCGTAAGTTAACATATCAATGATTTGTGGGAAGATGAAACTGGAAGAAAGACTGGTACAGCTATCTTTGCAAATATTTCTCATGATGGTGGTTTCTTTATTTACTCAAATAGAAACACAAAAATAGGATAAAAACATTATTTCCATTTCATTTTATTCATCTTCTTTAAACCTCTACTTTTATCCCGTCTTCATTAGCCCATTAGGTGCAGAGGAGTAGGATGTAAAACTCCATTCATTTCTACTTTCATCCATTTCAAAGTTATCATAAAGAATATTTTTGATATCTTTCAGATCTGTTTTGAACCCTGAAGGTGGTGGAACCATCACACCGGAAGAATTGATCAATCAACTCTTGTTAGGTGGGGGAGGAGAACTCGACTTTCAGGTAGGTTATACCAGTCTAATGCCAGTCTAGCGCCTTTCAAATGCCAATCTAATGCCAGTCTATTGCCAGTCTAGTGCCAGTTTAGTGCCAGTCAAGTGCCAGTCTATTGCCAGTCTATTGCCAGTCTACTGCCAGTCTAGTGCTAGTCTAGTGCCAGTTTAGGGCCAGTTTAGGGCCAGTCTAGGGCCAGTCTAGCATCCAGTCTAGCATCAGTCTAGCATCAGTCTAGCATCAGTCTAGCATCTGTCTAGCATCAGTCTAGCATCAGTCTAGCATCTGTCTAGCATCTGTCTAGCATCAGTCTAGCATCAGTCTAGCATCAGTCTAGCATCTGTCTAGCATCAGTCTAACATCAGTCTAGCATCAGTCTAGCATCTGTCTAGTGCTTATATGATTACTGTAGAAAGCAATTCTAATGACAATTATTTCCGTCCAATCAAAGCTTGTCATGTGGGATCTTCCTCTTGATAAGAGTGAGGAATGATGGGATTGGGATAATTAAAAGATAAATTTTTGTTTCTATTTTCATTATTTTTATCTTCTGAATTTAGAATCAGATCCCAGGAGCCACCCCCATCACAAATGCTGTCACGATTGTGAGCACCCCTGCCTGTCCCGAGGGTCAAACGGTCATCAGTGAACAATGTGGTATGTTTTTTATGCTTTTTAGTAAGACTAACTTTCGAAAGCACATACCGAGTCATCATCATTATGCAAAAGGAGCTCAGGATTATTTTGTGAGAAAGAAAGAACAATGGTTTACCAGGATAACAATTTAATTTCATAAGTTACCTTTCTATTAGCTGGTTTTTGTCCCAATCTTTTGGCATTGATCTTTACAAGGATAATAACTTAGCCTCAGATTCACATGAAACCTTTCTACCAGCTGATAATTGGCCAAACCTCTTGGCATTGATCTTTGCAACGTTAATAACGTAGCTTCACAAGCTACCTCTCTACCAGCTGGTTCTTGTCCAAATCTTTTGACATTAATCTTTCCCAGATTATCTGTACCAATTTACAGCTGGGTTGAATTATGAGTGTAAAATTATTGTAAGTGTAAGTGTAAAGGATGGGCAGGTATATCCAGGTATATTGCAGGTATATCCAGGTATATTGATGGTATATCCAGGTATATTGCAGGTATATTGCAGGTATATTGCAGGTATATCCAGGTATATTGCAGGTATATCCAGGTATATTGATGGTATATCCAGGTATATTGATAGTATATCCAGGTATATCCAGGTATATTGCAGGTATATCCAGGTATATTACAGGTATATCCAGGTATATTGCAGCTATATCCAGGTATATTGCAGGTATATCAAGGTATATTACAGGTATATCCAGGTATATTGCAGGTATATCCAGGTATATTGCAGGTATATTGCAGGTATATCGCAGGTATATCCAGGTATATTGATGGTATATCCAGGTATATTACAGGTATATCCAGGTATATTACAGGTATATTACAGGTATATTGCAGGTATATCCAGGTATATTGATGGTATATCCAGGTATATTGATGGTATATCCAGGTATATTGCAGGTATATCCAGGTATATTGCAGGTATATCCAGGTATATTGCAGGTATATTGCAGGTATATCCAGGTATATCCAGGTATATCCAGGTATATTGCAGGTATATCCAGGTATATCCAAATGTGTATCAAACAATAATGTCTGAATATCCAGTATTTTAGTCGCTACACCCCTCCCTGCCTCTCAGCTTTCTAATTGTTTATAATTGTGAATATTAATGTCCAGATTACCTTTTTTTCAGTGGAATGTGCTGCAGGAACCTTTTATGATGTATCTTCGAAGATGTGTAAGAGCTGTCCAATAAACAAATATCAGAATATGGCAGGACAGAAAGAATGTATGTCATGTACTGCAGGATTGACCACTGAGAATATGGGATCAGAGAAAGTGTCGGATTGTAAAGGTGAAAATGATACTGCTGTTTTTTACTTCATTGCACACTATGTGGTGCTGTCCATCTTCTTTTACTTATTATCAGAAATACAGATACATTTTATTTCATTTCATTAGTCCAATAAGATACAGAACAGTAGGATATAAAACTCTATTTCATTTCATTAGTCTAATAAGATACAGAACAGTAGGATATACAACTCTATTTCATTTCATTAGTCCAATAAGATACAGAACAGTAGGATATAAAACTCTATTTCATTTCATTAGTCCAATAAGATACAGAACAGTAGAATATAAAACTCTATTTCATTTCATTAGTCTAATAAGATACAGAACAGTAGGATATACAACTCTATTTCATTTCATTAGTCCAATAAGATACAGAACAGTAGGATATAAAACTCTATTTCATTTCATTAGTCCAATAAGATACAGAACAGTAGAATATAAAACTCTATTTCATTTCATTAGTCCAATAAGATACAGAACAGTAGGATATAAAACTCTATTTCATTTCATTAGTCCAATAAGATACAGAATAGTAGGATATAAAACTCTATTTCATTTCATTAGTCCAATAAGATAGAGAACAGTAGGATATATAACTCTATTTCATTTCATTAGTCCAATAAGATACAGAACAGTAGGATATAAAACTCTATTTCATTTCATTAGACCAATAAGATAGAGAACAGTAGGATATAAAACTCTATTTCATTTCATTAGACCAATAAGATAGAGAATAGTAGGATATAAAACTCGTATTTCATTTCAATAGTCCAATAAGATACAGAACAGTAGGATGTAAAACTCCATTTCATTTCATTAGTCCAATAAGATACAGAACAGTAGGATATAAAACTCCATTTCATTTCATTAGTACAATAAGATACAGAATAGTAGGATATAAAACTCTATTTCATTTCATTAGTCCAATAAGATACAGAATAGTAGGATATAAAACTCTATTTCATTTCATTAGTCCAATAAGATACAGAACAGTAGGATATAAAACTCTATTTCATTTCATTAGTTCAATAAGATAGAGAACAGTAGGATATAAAACTCTATTTCATTTCATTAGCTCAATAAGATAGAGAACAGTACGATAAAAAACTCTATTTCATTTCATTAGACCAATAAGATAGAGAACAGTACGATAAAAAACTCTATTTCATTTCATTAGTCCAATAAGATACAGAACAGTAGGATATAAAACTCTATTTCATTCATTAGAGCATTAAGATACAGAACAGAAGGACATTCAGAGAGACCTTTTTATTTCATTAGCCCAATTTCCCAGTTCATGTGTCTGATGTAAAAGTATTGTAATTTCAGCACTTGTGAGAAAGGTCAAATGTTTAAAGATGGAAGCTGTCAGAGTTGTCCATTAGGATTTTACCAGAACATGACAGGGCAGTTCTACTGTCTTCCATGTCCAGTAGACAAAACAACCAGAGCTGTTGAAGCTCAGAGTGAAGACCAGTGCTTCAGTGAGTATTTCCTTTTTTCCCTTTTTGAATGTTGTGCACTCAAGACAAAGTTGACATGTTGTCATTTATCAGCCAAGGGAAGTTATACAGGTATTACATCACAATTGAAATTCAAAATGACTCCTTTTGCGATCCAAGTTTTCCAATGTCTACCCAAAATTAAAATTAATCACGACAATCTACAAATCAAATTGTATATTTCAACGTTTACTACTGTAACATTTTGAATTGCATCCAAATATTTTATGAAATGGGAATCAAAATTTAACTAAATTTGTCAAAACTTGAAACAAATGTGATAAATTTCTGATCAACTTCAATCTAAATTGAACCCTGAGTTAAACCAGACGCAAACGATAGACTTTTGTCTTTTCATTTTCATTTTCGTTTTATTTCTAATTGTTATTAATTTATATCTAATTTTTTTTCCTAGATGATTGTCCATTGGGTGAAGAGTTGACAGGAGCAGGCCAATGTCAGAAATGTCCCGTAGGAAAATATCGTAGTGCAGACGACACCAGCTGTCAACCATGTGATGCTGGCACTACTACTGCAGGTGAAGGCACGACTTCCAAAAAAGATTGTAATTTAGGTAAGTTACCAGTGAGGAACGCCTGGATTTTACAGACACGTCATTAACCTGACAAATTTGAGATATCAGGGGGTGGTGCGATTCTCGCAAGCACTTGCACAGGCATCAGAAATTTTCTTACCTTGAAGAGGATTC